AGAATTCAGCAAAATGCAGCAGAAAATATGTCAGACATTAATAGAACTGACTGTATCGGCACATATCCAGCACCAACTTTGACATGATATGTAAATATCTAGTGGTTTTGTCATGAGATGAAAAAGTAGCTACTTTAGACAATGGCATAACTCTTCTCATAGAAGTTGTAGAAAAATCCCGTTTCATTAGAATTAAACTCCAAGTTGGAGTAAATACTTTATGTTCAGTGACGGGCAAATTGACATTTCACAAATTAATGATACTTTGCACCAATAATATGCATTCATATTGCAACAGTTCAGAGCTGCTTGCCTTGTGCGAAGAGTTTTGAAATTATAAGAACAGTTCTTCAAACCATGCGAGAGCATGTGGTTATCTATCATTTCTACAAAGAGACGAGGAAAAGTCTCCAAATATGTGCTCTCATGACAATGAATGGACAACATCTTCATACAAAGTATCATGGGCACAGGCTTCCATATCAACAGTCACACTTCAACAGCACTCAAAATAATTAATCATGTTTTACCTGCATTTCAGGATCCAGACAGAAGATTCAGGATGGAGATGATCAGGAGACACAAGCCATGAAACAAAAGAAGAGAACAAATACAATTAAATGAGCCACAGGTATATTTCAAGTGTTCCACATTTCATTCCAAAAATACAATAACAGATTGAGAACATGACACAATTTTGTCTTACACAGAAAAATGTGAAGAATCTCTCATTGCTCGTTTTGACAAAAAACAAAACAAACAAAAAAACTATTACTGTAAGACCTTACATAGACAGATGTTTGCCAGTTATGACATTTAAATTCAATAAGACACTCGAGTCAAATGTCTGAGGATCTCAAGACATAAAGAATCAGGTTCAAATCATTGCTGTAAACAAATTAAGTTTTATTAGTCATTAGAGTTACTTGTATGTGTTAGAGCTATCTGTATGTTATGTTATGTCTTGAAGCAACTGTGACAACATATTTTACTCTGGGATTAACAGAAGATTCTGGTTTAACTCAGGAGAATCATAGTCAGTGCGCTTTTATTTACAGGGAATTCATAAAAGTGTGCTATATACAAAATGTGCAAGGGGAGATGGGGTTCTAGGGATCCAGGGAGGGAGGAACAGACATCCGGCGAAGGTGTTTACACGGGGAGAAGCGAAACAAGGTTAAAGTCCAGAGATGAAAAAGCGAGCAAAAACGTTTCACAAGAGCCATATTTCACTAACTAGATCTAGATAATCCAGAGAAGACTGACAGCCAGCCAATACCTTAAGTAGTGGCTGCTGATGAGCTGATGCATCACAGGTGAGTTGATTGGAAGCAGGTGCATTGAGCCAAAGGCGGGAATCAGCAATGAGTACCGCCTCGGGGCACAGAGAAAAGCAAAGATGGATAGGTAGAGGAGAGAAGAGAGAGAGCGGCAAGAGCAGAGAGAGAAAACAAACCTTGGTGGAACGAAGGAAAGGGGGACCATGACAATTTTAATATTATGATTTTGCTTTTTCATATTAATATTTAAGTTAACAGCTGTAATGATGACTCTGAGATGTGTTTTGGAAGCTCGCGTCTGATCTTATTAAATGTAGCATCATCTCACTGTGCACCAGGAGATGCTGTAAGTAATAGTGTTCGTGCCAGCAGCAGCATTTTATGAACGCTAATTGTACAAGTATTAGCATGGAACACAACATAGAGTGTGATCAGATACAAAGAAATAAAAAGCAGTTGAAATTAGATACATCTCACAGGGGAGATTTATCTGTAAAATTAAAATGTAGCTGGAAAGTAGATATCTGTATGTATGTATCAGAGGGGGAAAAGACCTACAAAGCTTAGTTCAGAGATAAGACATAATGTGGTTTCTGTTCTAGGTTATCCCTACAGGCATGACACTGGCTGAAAGGACTCGATCATATCAGTCTATTAGCAGATAAGTTTTTAATCAACTTGATGATGAAGACTTTTTTAGTTTTGAATGGGAATATATAAATATGAATAAATAAATAAGTAAAAATTCTGCACTGTTGTGGTAAAAACTGTAGTGCATGAATAGTAATATGATGTGTGGCGACTCTGGGCAGCTTTATGACCACATGTATTAAATCAGAGCGCAAACATACAACGTTGTAATGTGGTTTAGCTACAACTTCAATGTCATCTTAACGGTCTGTGTTAACCTTGCTTATAACTGGTTGGCAACTGACAGCTGAAAACAGAGATGCCTCTGAAACAAGATGTACATATAACTGTCATCTATGACTGTATGAAAGTCTAATATTTGCTTAGAAGAAAAAGATGTCTGAAAACGTGCTTGTTTAGTCACTTAAAATGCTTCAGTTCTTGATCATATTTTACAGTTGATTAGATTCTCCATATTTCGAAAACAAAGCTGCTGCAAAACAAAACACTTAAGCAGTGTTTGCTGGTTACACATCTCTGTCAGAACAGAGAAAAAAAGGATCAAGTAAGGATCTTTTTTCTATGATTTCCTCTCCCCAGAGCTTTGTTTTTTTTCATCTTCTATCAATATCAGTCAAGAGAGAACAGAAAATGACTGAACTAACAAAAAAGAGTAAATCCAACTCTTTCCCCGTCAGTTTTATTTAAACGTTCCTTTTAAAGTTCAATCATATAGCTGAAACCATATTTGAGTTCAGCCACTTTGATTCATTTATGTATTTTTCCCACAGACTGACAGTACCTATATAGTGAACTTGAATTACACTGTCTGGACATGCTTTTTGTCTTTTTCTCACATAATATGAAATGATCACATACAGTTTTCTGGTTATTTGAATGGTTAATTGTCATCTTATAACATCTTATAACACTAATGTTTTGAATCTATACTGTGTCTGAGTCTCACCCAAGGAAGACTTACTCCACCTCTGTATTTATTCATGAAGTACTTTTCAGCTCTATCAGCAGGGTGTCATTAGGCAGCATTGGCACTTAGACCAAGTGCCAATGTGGGTTTTTGCCTTGCAACTTCTGATAGGTTGAAGTGAAGTGAACTGGCATCGTAACTGTGATCCTATTGGCTCAAACGATTAAAAACAGGTGTCAATCACGCAAATGTATCAATAGTTCATGTGCTTATTTTCTTTTGGAGACTGTTAAGATGAATTTTATAGTTATTCAGGATGCCAAGTGGAAGCTGCACACTTGCACAAGAAAGATTCTCTAAAGAAAGAAAAAAAAAGAAAAAAACAAAACAGAAGACTCTTAGCATAGTAAAGAAATCATGAGCCTCAAAGTTTCTTGGAATCTCTTCCTTGTTTTGTTTTTTTTAGCCTTTTGACATCATTGACATGATGTCAGTGTAGCCAGAGATGGTGTTAGCCTTTGTTTTTGAAAAGTCCCTGTTAAAAGTTACATTCTGTTATTAGTCTGCCAAATGCCAGACAGCCAGGAGGGCTTTAGAGGGTCTAAAACTTCTGCCAAGAGTTTGTGCTGCTGGTTAAATGGTGTATTAACAATAATAATATTCAGAGGCTTCCAATGAATTCTTGTGATTTTGTGTTGACGTCTCTTTAGAACAAGCTTTACCTGCAGCCCACTGTTTTCCAGAAGCTGCAGGTATGATATTTTCTGTGACCTAATTCCTGTGCTTTTATAGGAAACTACTCCAGAATTCAATTTTCAACTTTATTTCATAGTAACTATAAAAAATGATTTATTGTATTTTGTTAGAGCTGAAAGAAACTTGATGCATTTTCTGTTTAATATTAGAATTATCTTAGCATTGTCTGTTGTGCTTCTGAATTTGTGTGGAAAATTGACCAAAATAACATTAAAATACAATGACCTCCGGAGTACGTTAGCTCATGGTCTACATCTTTTGTATACAGTGTCCTCTAGATTCTCTCTCTTCCACAGGTTTCTTCCTGTTAAATGGGAGTTTTTCCTTTCCATTGTCGCCAAAGTGCTTGCTCACAGGGGGTCATATGATTGTTGGGGTTTTCCCTGTTTTCTTTGTATCATTTTAAGGTCTTTACCTTAAAATATAAAGCTCTTGAGTCAACTGTTGTTATTTAAATAAAATCAAATTGAATTGAAAAATTGTATTAAATGGTCGTACATGGTAAAAGTTTACAGACAACTAAGTATTTTCAAAGCGACTGTTAATTTAGGTAGAATCAATAAAACTAGCATAGATTTAACCTCAACAATAATATATGGAAAATGGAGGACTAGGCAGAGATATAATCAACACAGTGAAAGCTCTTAGAGTCACTGTATGCCCTGTGTGTGTGTGTGTGTGTGTGTGTGTGTGTGTGTGTGTGTGTGTGTGTGTGTGTGATTTCATGTTCACAACAAAGCCAAGAATAAACTAGAAATGTAGAAATGATTACAAAAAGTAGACAATAGCAAAATAAAAACAAAAGGCTACATTGATGGTGATAGCCTTGAATATGTTAAATAATGTGTGTAAAAAGTAACGTGAACTAGCAAACTTTTTTATAGAACCAGACAGAGATTCGCATTTTAAAAAATGCCTTTGTTATTTCATTAACTTCCAAAAATAATAGTTTCAATTAATGAATGCATAACAGAGTAGTATCGACAGGATACCTTTAAGTGTAGCACAACATGGCACATGTTTTGTTACTGTTACATACAGGGAATGCTTTTTCTTTGTTTTGTTTTGTTTTACTGTATTTTATTACTGTCTGTTGCAGACTTTTTTACTTTACACAATAAATGAAAAGACTGACCTAAAGTCCTCTTCTAATGATCCATAATAATCACCTTCACTGCTGGTAAAAAACAAATGCAATAATTTTCATAACTACACACTGTACCACAGTTCTTTAAATGATCACATTATATCAGCTTATTCTTTCAAATTCAGTTATATCAAATTAAATAAGTGAACAAGTAAATAAATTGACCTAATTCTAAGTGTGTTTATTTCAAATTTCACTGTATATTGAAATTCATTTATGTTAACAAGATAAATAATTTGATTATGTGATGTATTCAAGAGTCAGAAGAGAAAGAGAATGAAGCCTAATCCACTGCAGTGTTTTCTTTGACAGACAACTATTCTAGATGATCGATGACGGAGGGGAGGGAGCTTTAAAACTGCTGAACTGTGACAAAGAACTGAACTGACCCTTCACTTTGTCCACCGCAATAAACCAGTTCTGCTGGAGGAAAGCATTCATTCGTTCAACACAACAAAAGGGATCCCATAAAGAGATACAAACGTTAGTTTACTGCTACTCCCAAACTCCTCCCACCAATAATCTGTTTCCTTCTTTTCAAAGATATGATGGAGGATGAGGGAAAGAAAAAAAACCACACTTTTAACCCACTTTTCTCTCTTTTTCTTTTAGTGATACGACATGCTGAGGTGGGTGTACACTAATTTGCTTTTATGTGTTCAGACACAACAGGAAATAGATATTATGTGGCAAAATACTATGTTACATGTAATATATCAAATATTAATGTACATGTTAATGAACATATAAATGTAAATAAGCCAGAATTAGCCAAAGGTTTTGGGCAGGTCAGGACAAAAACAATAAATGATCAAAGTAACACACCATCAGTAAATGTTTAACAATATACTCCAGACAACATATACACACAATTACAACACAAAAGATCCACAGTAAAAAAAAAAGAAAACAAAGAAAAACAAATACATATAAAAACATACAGCATTAAATATAACACATATTAGTATAAAATGAATGATCACAGATCTGGTGTTTGAGCATATTGTGATGCATGACCTGTTGGACTATATGGGCTCCTATATCAGTCAGAATAAAATCTGTCTCGGAGGGTAAATGGGTTGGCATTTTGCAGAAATGAGTTGAAAGAACATTTTATCCAGGGATTATATATTTTTTTGATACACTGTGATGTTTCAGTCTTACAGACACAGTGAAAGTTTGAGAACAAGCATACCGGGGCACTGGCTTTTTGCAAACTTTGATGGGGACTTGAGGAGACTGCTCTGATTTCCCCATCAGTTTTGTGGTATAGCAAATTGGTGATTTTAAATTAGCTGAGGTGAGAAAAAAATTGCTCATACTCATGCTGCCCCGACATCATGCCAGTGAATATTGGGAATGGCATAGGCACCGATCGGTTTTCTGCCGCACATTTGCTGGGAGTAAGGGCGCCCTCCGTTTGCGAGGTGCGCCTGCTGCTTGCTGCACAGGGAGGAGGGGGAATTCTCTGGCTGGCTGGAGCAGCATCTAATAACCACCTCGTAAAATAAAACAAAAATAAACCAACCCGATGTTTTTTCGAAATTCTGTACGCGAAAAGTGAGCGTGAGAGCCCTCGGTGCGCCTGCTTGCTGCTGAAGTCAAAGTAAACTTTATTGTCATCTCCGCTACATACAGTCCAGTATATAGAGAGACGAGACGACGAGGCTCCAGTTACAGCAGTACAAGTAAACAAACAATAATTATAAGAAGAATAAGAAAATAAATATACACTTTAGGACTAGGGGTAAAGGGATCAATAACAATTGAAAATTTATAATTTACAGTTTGATGATTTAAAGTCTCACACACAACCTGTCGAAAGGGGAGGGGGGCGGCTGCTTCCAAATAGAGCAAATTTCATTCATATTGTTGTAAATCCAAGCCCATTATGTATTCATTATGTGATTTGAATCCTGGGTTTTGTGAAATCCCAGAAATAAACGCTAGACAAACTGAATCTTTGAACTAAGGTGTAGGTCTATTAGGTGATGTTGTGGTGATCCTCGGGTTGGGGAATGGGTGTTCATCCTGGAGTGCAAAATTAAAACCAAGACGGACAAGAAAAGTTCAAAGCCAAAGAGAAAAGAAGAGGAGGAGAAACGAGCAAAAGATACAGGTAAGCAGATGTGTCATTGGATAATGGCAGGTCATCCTGAAACAATCAAAATCAGAATACTAAGGAAATTATGTGAGTTACAGTTGGTCCAAGAAGAAATGGTAAAAATAGTAACAGTAACAGACTAAACTCCAAACAATAAATTATGTTACAGATTTTAATTGTAATTAGTCAGTGTCAATTGTTGATTTGTCCTGTTCTCATTGTATGATGAATTAAGATGGCTATTTGGTAGCCGTTTGCATACTATGCATACTCTCTCTCTGTCTTCATATGTGTGTGTGTGTGTGCGTTTCTCTGGTGAAATTCAGTATGGTTCCGACAACAGTTGGTTCCAAACAGGCTAGGGCCGCCACTGTCTCCATCCTTCTACTGTCAGCCAGAGAACATCTATATACATATTTCTGTATTGTACAATCTCTTTTGTTTTACTTATAAAACTGTTGTGTTAATCATTTCAGTGCACTATTTAACCAATAACTCCTGACACATCGCCAACAATAACTGATTATGTCTTCACAGCTCTTGCAAAATGTTATACCCACAACAGATTACGATACACAGTGATGCAAATCTATCATTCAGGTGTGCGTTGCTGAATACATTAGACAATGAGTAAGGCAGAGGAAAAAAGCAAAAACAATTCCAGAGGAATACTCCTGACATTACTTTTAAATTTTAAAAGCACCTTTGGTTGGATGTTTCTTCTCTTTGATGTCCTGTTCTCCATGTCAACATACACTTTCTGCTATTATGAAGAGTTAGCAGGTGTGTATTACACGTGTATTAACTCTAATCATAAAATATTCATAAACGTATCGCCAGTATGAAGAAAGATATTTTTTCTTACTTCTGCAATCTTTAAAAAAATATATCTTTTTAAAAGAAAGTGCATACGTGTGCCCGTAATAGGCTGTACGTCAGCTACAAACCAAATGGGCCTTAGATTACTGATTCAACTCTGTGGTCAAACGCATCCACACAAAACTCAGGATTTGAAAAATGTTTGTGGTTTGTGTAGGATTGGATCAATTAAACTTTCCTCTCATTAAATAGCTACTATGAACTGCAGTAACACACAGTTTAAAACAGTCAGCAACTTTGTGCTACAATATCATTCATTGCAGCCATGATTAATTATATTTCCTATATCGACACACATTTGCGTAGAGCCTGGATGGGTTCCAGGATTCACTGCTGGTAATCCTGCTGATCATTATTTGTCAGGTAAACCAGTCTTGAAATGATGATAAATTCATTGTCACTCTAAATCGTGTCAGAGGGGGAAAAAATGACATCACAGACTTTACAAATGCTTTCATCACTCTCTTGATTTATTTCATTTACAAATCCAAAATGCCCCAAATCTGTCAAACACATATTGCATCCCATTTCACATACAATATACACATTTTCCAGCTTTGTTTTAAGATTTGAGAAACTTTTTAAACTACAATTGAAGAAGATAAGAAAGAACAATACTGTAGGAATATATTTCCTTCTTCATTTGCTCACTGTAGGAGTCAACAGACAAAGAGAGAGACCAAGTGAGAGCTATACTTGTCTCTGCTTTTCCTAACTATATCTCGCTGCTGTCTCCATGAAGCAGAAAGTGTTGCTGTGTTCATCTGTGTGGGAGAATGTTGCAATAGATGAAGTCATAGACGTCATGGTGCCAAACCAGTTGCAAATTACATGTGAGTTCAGGTGTATATGTCAGTTCTGGTTTAGGAGAAAATGTCAGGAATCATCTAGCTAGACAGCCAAGTCTTATTTTTAGAACAGAGGGTCAAATGTTACTTTTTGTTTTTTGCATTATGTATGGTCACAAAAGTTTGGTAGATTGTGGATTTTCAACGGGATGTAGAGTGGATATAACACTCTGGAACTATTTCATGACAACAAATGGCTCTCCTTTCAGCTCATTTCTCATTAGAGGGACACAGCTTAAACTGATTAATCACTCGAGTATTATCATTTCAAGGTGTCCTTCAAGGTGTTGAAGGCTAATATGACACATGCAGAACACCCATTATATGCTCCACGTGCAGAGCAGAGCAGGCAAGTTGCTAATCGATCTGTCTTTCGCTTGTCTCTGTTACTGCTTATCCTAACTCTGTAGGCATATTACTGAACACTAAAGTTTAAATTTGTTCAGATTAGCAATGGTCTCACATTGGAGTCTTCATCAAAATACCTCAAACTATACACTTGAACCAAAACATTAAGCAGAAGGTGAAGCATCAGCACTAATGCTCACTGCACAAAGTACTTCACACTGTACACAGAAAAAAAGACATTATATGAGAATACACCCCCTGTTTCATGTGTTCATGTCAATGTAATAGAGGGTTTCAACACAAAGACAGCACTGGGTAGCCAGAGCATCCCCTTGTTTCTTCATTAAAATAAGAAATAAGGCTAATAAGCTTGTTGTTCTCAGGTAACATTTCACCCTTATCTTCAGCATAGTTAGAAAAGATTTGAATATCAGTGATCTAAGCTCTGCATGGTAGTTCAGTCAGTGTCGACGCTTTTAGCCCAGTGCACAGAGAAAGTGAGAGAAAATGTATTCCAAATATCTTTCTTTTTCTCTTTCAGGCAAAGAACAGAGCCAGACACAGAGACATCACACACAGACACAGCCATTAGATCCATAACGGCATTGTCATCAAAAGGTACTGAAACCATACATAACCTTTCTCTTCTGTGTGTGCTGGGGCTATATAGTAGTCACCCAGACATGAAACAGACTGCAGAATTTTAACAGAATTTCCTAAAGCCTGAGTGGAATCGCATTTAAGTTAAAAAAAAAAATAATGTAAAAAATAAACTTTGGAGCATTTTATTTAAAAGTAAAATATGATTTCTATTTTGAATTCAAGTCTTTTTGTTTTTTCGAATTTTAGTTTTTGAAACTTCACTAATCCTTCTGATTGTTCTTCAGTCTAACCTAGAAACATGTAGAGATGCTATAGTGCCAAATGACTCAGTCACCCATCCAAATCATTGAATTCAGGTGTTCCTAGATTCAATGATTTGGATATAAAATCAAGCACCTTGGCATTCAGACTGTTTCTACAAACTTTTGTGAAAGACTGGGTCACTCTCAGCCGCTCACTGATTTCCAACTAGTACCGTGATAGGATGCTAGCTGTGAAACAAGTGTAGTCGTGAAACTTCCTCACTACTAGATATTCCACAGTCAGCTGTAAATGGTGTTATGACAAAGTGGAAGTGATTGGGAGCGACAGCAATTCAGCCACAAAGTGGTAGACTACATAAAATCACAGATCGAGGTCAGCGGATGTTGAAGTACATAGTGCGCAGAGGTCTCCAACTTTCAGCAGTGTTTCTGGAGGAATGGTCAAAGTTTCCCATAAACACACTTTTAAACCTTGTAGAAAGCTGTTATAGCTGCAAAGAGTGGACCTATACCACATCTATTCTTATGAATTAAGAATGGGATTTCACTCAAGTTCACATGAGTGAATGTAGATGAGCAAATACTTTTAGCAATATAGTGTAAAAACTGAAGTTGCAAAGTGAATGAAAAGCAAACTTGATTTTACTGCCTAAACTTTTGGAAATTGCATTTTGCAACCTAGTGTAAAATGTAAAAAGAATAAGAATGCAGTTGTTTGTAATTACTTAACTCCATATATTTATTGAAAACAATAAAAACAAAACACGGAAATAAAAAATAACAGATGATGATGCATAGCACAGCACTTGAAAAACGGGCAAGAAAGAAGTATATCAAAGAACGAGGCCAATATCAGAGCTAAAATACTGCATTTCTTCCTCCTGGAACCTGAACTGTGTCTCCCTTTGGGATGCACTGAGACCCATCAACCCAACAACTAGAGTGCAAAACTGTATTGTCTGGCAGAAACAGCAGACTGTACACCTCTTTCATGTCTTCCCTCCTCAAGCACTTAGGGGTCCCATTTCATCTTTTTTTTATGTCTTTTCCCTCTGAGACAAGAAACACTCCCAGACCACATAATCTAATTATGTCTCCTGTGCTATTCACACTCACAAGTCTGCACCTCTGTCCAGGATACAACTCCCATCCACTTCAATGCTTTCACTTTGTGATGTTGTATTAATCTAGTGCATCATGCTATTGCTGTTCTGTGCATTTTCGCAGATAATTAACTGCACAATTCTCAGCTTAAGCAGAGGTATTACAGTATGCCTCTGGTTGGTTACTCAGTGGTGCTGAGGGACTAGAACGAGAACTCTGTGTAGCTAGAAAATAAAAGCTGTGTAAGCAAATGTATCTTTTTTTCAGATATAGACACCAATTATATAGAGTAAATATGTCTCTGCCCCATGCCTCTGTAGGGAGAAAAAGGTGATGCAAAGAAGATATTTGTCTTCACCATATTCATCACATTAGTGAGGCCATCCAAGGACAGCTATCCTTACATATAGTTCTAAACATAACTGTAAGAAATGTGTCCTCCAGCAGTTCATCTCATTTTATCATCTAAAAAGCTCAAAGACTCATAACCACTATTAAGTGCCTATTCTGCAATCATTAGTCAGTTTGGATTCAGAGAGACAGGCTAAAAGGCTGATACAAATGTTATTACAGTATGCAACTATGTTACAAAACAACTATACAACATCCTTCAAAATTGTATTTTGATACACTGAGTCACAGAAAAACAACTGCAATGGATGCGTGGTAGAATCAGTGGAAAGCCTACTACACAGAGAGAGGAGAGTGATACAGCAAAAATGGATAACAGTGCTCAAATTCTCCATAAGACTGCTGCAAAGTGCTGAATAAAACACCTCATCTGTTACATCTGTCCCAGCTTTCCAGCGCAGACCTCTCTCTCTCCGTCTCCATGTCATCTAGCCAGCTTTTCTCACATCCAAAGTGCCAGGTTATCATTTTAAACCTTCCTTACTGTTTGTGCCAGTCTTCTGTTTCACCTTTGGGACATACTTTGGCTCATTGTCCCCCATAACTCCCACTATGGCTTTTCATACCATGACAGACTGCTACTTATCCTCTGTCCTGACTAGAGGCATTTAAAGCCAAGCAGCTCTTTCAAAAATATCTCCATTGGTTTTTTGTGTGGCACCTAATATTGACTAAAGCAGTGTAGGTCAAGGTCAACATCAAGTTAATTTTTTATACGCAGTCTACGCCTATTGATAGCTCAATATTAGCAGTCACCTGTTCATGGATTTTTCTGTGGAAAATAGTTCCAAATTATTTGTGGAAAATTCACCTTTTATGTGAAATGAATTATTTTCATTACGATGATAGCTTAAGGTATATTTGTTGTTTGAACTATTAAAAAAGGAAGTTAGAAGCATTTATAGAGCAGTTCTTAAGTGTTCATGGATTTTCCCTATTAGCGTGTTGCTGTGATCGCTAACCCCCTTGAATACCGGTGATCGACTGTAGCACGTTTCCAGCAGCTCATGTTGCACAACATGCTTTACAAACTACAATGCAACTAAAATAAGTAAAATCCACAACAATGATGCAAGAAAAATATAAAACAGAAAGACTAATACAATAAAAACAACTAAAACAACAACGACAAAGGCTGTGAAAACGAGAAGTGTATTGGGTCAAAGCCAATCCATCAACAGGTGTCTTCAGTAGAGATTTCAAATGTTCCAGCGTTTGCACCCATCTGATATTTAGAGGCAAACTATTCCAGCGTCTGGGGCCTGCAACAGAAAAAGCTCTGTGTAGGTGTTGTCAAGATGAAATATTATTTTACATTCATAATCTATGTTACTATTCATGATCCTTATTATTACTGTTGCATCATTTATGATTTATCATTATTATCATTTCATTGACACATTTATTGAAACTGGTGAGGTTATATTAAAGTCTGTATTTCAGGTGTTAGCATAAGCACATAATAATCTTTCATTGCAGGTGCAACTGTAATCATGTTATACACATATTGCATAATTAAAGGGTTGAACCTCAGTTAAGTTAATTAATGGTTTGAAGCTACGATGTCTGGCCGATCAATGGAGCAAAGTTCAGCTATTGAAAGGTTGCCTACATGTTTACAGTATAATTTACTACATATTGCCTGTGCTATGGATGTTTGCCTGGTAACAGATGACGTAGAGGGGGGTCATGCACTTAGATTAACGACACAGACACATAGCCTGTCTGGGTAAACTGATTGCAAGTGTGTTTAAGTCTGGACAAGTGTAATAACAGGATGCATCTGGGAGGCGGTGGAGGAACTGAAAGAGGAACTGTTCTGTATTAGTGACGCGAGTTACTGGTCATCATAAGAATAAATATTACACCCACCTATTGTAAGGGGGGAGATGGAGCCTGATGTTTTGCAGAGCCTATCTTCACCACATATATGTGTTTTAATAAAATAATTTGTGTTGACCCACTATGGACTTTCAGTCGTATGTCTCTTCCTCAAAATTCGAACTGCGACAGTGTGTAACTTTGGCAGAAAATTGTGTTAACTGCTGTATATCTTTTAACCTTGTTCTTCGGTCACATCCTCTCCTGGAGCCTCTCCTGACACTGCCAACATGATGTACATCATTACATAACATTAAAACAACAGAGCCCAAAGACATGTACCCTGACTGGCTCACACACAGTGCCATATTTTTTTTTTTTATCAAATTACCTTCATATTTAAGTCTTATTTTACACAAGAAAAGCATAGGTTCCTAAATCTAACATAAAATAAATGCGGTTTATCAGTCTCTGAACATACTGAACCAGAAACCCGCTGAGAGTCTGAGGATAGTTTTCTGTCAGTACATTTTTTAAAATCCATGTCATCTCCTCTTATCTCTCATCCATCTATCGCTAATATAGACCTCTGGCCACCACAGTCCCTTTATGGAACATCAGTCATCAGTCTGTTCTGAAGCAGGTATATAGCTAATGGCTTTTTTTTTTTTGGCTTGCTTACAGGCCACAGTGCACATATCACTGCTCTTTACACATATAACACAAATTAAACGTTTATTGTTCACTGTTCAGTAGTAACAATTTCAGAATTCTTGTTTTTTACATTATTGTAAATTTTAGTAAAGAAATGACCACTGGGATCATATTGCAACTGATATAATACCTGGTGAAATCACTGGTAGAAGCTTTAAAAGCAAACTAAGCTCTTGAAAGAGAGAACAGAGTAAGCTGTCATCAGCCCACTCAAACGAACAAACAAACAAAAAACAGAATAAAGCAGAAATTCTGTTAGATGCTGGCTGTAGAAGAAACAGCAATTATCTGCTATTATCCTGAGACTGCAGAAAATCATTTTTATTACTATTTATCAAATCTGATCATTTATGCCTCTCAATAACAATATTACTATTGTGACAGATCAAATCTTTCTGGATTGATGTTTGTCAGTTGCTGCCTTGCATATACAGTACCAGTGTATTAAAACCTTTGACTGACATATTATGTAAAATTAGAGGTTTTGGTGGTGCAGTGATAACAATGTTGCTTTACAGCACGAAGGTTCTGAGTTCAATTCCATCACCTGGCCGGGGACTTTGTGTGGAGTTTGCATGGGTTGGTGGGGTTATGTTAAATGTCATTTCTAAATTGTCCATAGACGTGAATGTGAATGGTTGTCTGTCTCTATATGCCAGCCCAGCAACAGACTGGCGACCTATCCAGAGTGTACCCTGCCCCTCGCCCTATGGAGGTGGGATAGGCTCCAGCAGCACTGCGACCCTCACAAGGAT